TATATATATATATATATATATATATATATATATATATATTATTGAAAAAATTACAAATCCAGAGGAAAAAAGATCTGTAATCACAAAATTTATTACATTAACAAAAACAAAAGCAAAAACACCTCCAATAAGTAAATCACCTGATGAATACAATTTTGCTTCAATTATGAAAAGAGTCAGTGAACAACATACTTCTCAACAAAAAGAACCTTTGATTTCAGACCTAAAGCAGGAAATCAAAGAAATCAAAAAAGAAGTATATCAATTAAAAAATTGGATTAAAACTTTAGAATTACAACAATATAGTTGTGAAACTTCAGCCTTAATAGATTCAGGGGCTGATCTTAATTATATCAATGAAGGTTTAGTACCTTCAAAATATTTTGATAAGACAACTCAAATATTAAATACAGCAGATGGAAGTAGATTATTTATCAATTATAAATTATCTAATGCTTCTGTTTGTAATAATCATTAATGCAAACAAAAGGTAAAAACCCTTGTTTGCCTTTCCCTTCCTCATCCCACTGCTTTCAAAATTATAGAGTGCGATGCTTCAGATATAGGCTTGGGTGGTATTCTCAAGCAACGTATTGATTCCCAAGAACAACTACTCAGGTATACTTCTAAAGCCTGGAATCCAACCCAGAAAAACTATTCCATGGTTAAAAAAGAATTATTAGCCATTGTTCATTGTGTTACCAAATTCCAAAGTGATATTCTCAATCAGCAATTTCTTATAAGAACTGACTGCAAAGCAGCCAAGGACATTCTGCAAAAAGATGTTCAAAATTTAGTTTCCAAACAAATATTTGCTCGCTGGCAGGCTATCCTGTCCGCCTGCTAATAGAAATACTAATATTACACTTTCACCTTCACCTCATTCCATGGGTTCTCGTGACAATTCTCGCAATAGTATACAGAATATATTATAAAGTAATGAATACTTTATGTCCTAATATTATGCGAATGGATAAGAAAGACCAGACCATATTATTTCAAACAAATATGGAAAAATCAAATACAATTATACCTAAAACAATTAATTGGTCAGATATTATATTACCTCAGTCTTGGGCACTACAAAATGCAAACCAACCCCAAGAAGTACCTAGAAATAATATTCCAAACCAAATAATTGAACATCCAGATGGAAATATTGAAATAAAATTTCAACAATCCAGAACCAAAGATGACATAGACATTAACAGGAAAAGAAATAAAAAACCTTTAACACCTGCTAGAAAATCCTGTCATACTCCCGATGTCATCATACTTCCTCCTCCTCCTTCTTCCCAACCAATACCATCTTCTGACTTCCACTTACAAGGAATAAGAAGAACAGCCGATCATGTAATTCTTCCTACATACACTCCTGAATCAAGTATAGAAGAATTTCAAATACTTACATTACAAATAGAAGATGATATAGAAGAAGAAATAACATACAAGGATGAATATATAGCAGCCTATTTAGCCGCTAAATTAGAAAGAAAAAAGAAGAAAATTAATATTAACTATATTAAACAAGTCTATCTGTCTGAAGAAAATAAAAATATTAGAAATTGGTATCTTAAAACATTTCAGCCAAGATTAATAGACTTAATGCATAAAAAATATAACAAATATCTCAAAAAAGAAAGAGAAACAAAACGATTTTTTATCTGGTTAAAAGAAATATGTATTCAATATAATATTAATATTCCCTCATTCGATACTATCCAAACTTTAGAGGAAAAAACATATATCAGTACTGATGGTACAACCACTGCCAGTACACACCCTCCTGAAAAAAGTATAATACTCAAAGGAGTAACTCCATCAACTAAAGGAGAACCACCTCAATCATTATATGATATAATTGCAACACCATATAAAGTTCTACCCAAGGAGCTAGGGAAAAAACAAGAATTAATTCCCCATATTGTAGAAC